TCTTATATTCTGGAATTCTAATAAAATTTTTCAAGTTTGATTTTCTATCAATATGATAATATTCAGGGTTTTTTGTCTATTTTAACATAACAGTCCATTCCATCTCCCATATTGAATCTCTAACGATTATATAGCCTTGCTGATATAATAATTTTAAAGAGAGTATAAATGCTGTATTTATTAATCTTAAACGTAACTGAATTTTTTTTTCGATATTATCTCAATATCATTCGATCCAAAACCAAAATATTTACGAGGAGAGAATATACCTAAAAACTTCATATCATCAGGAGTACCATCATTCCTTACTGCCTCTAAAACTCGTTTTGCCCAAGTTTTGGGTCTTAACTTGAAAGCTCTCCAAGCCCGTTAGACAGCTTTTGTATTATCGATTAAATGATATACAATCCTTTTCCTACCTTCATGTGAAGGATCATAACTATAAGGATTCAAACCTTTACTGTACATAACTGAATATGTTTGATAAATCTTTTCAATCTCATCAGAACTAAGCGATGATACGCTTCCTCCTTTTTTCACATTCTTTCGTGTATAAATAGAATATGCAAGATTCTTTTCAACTGTTCTAGCATTACATTTATTAAGGTGATCGCTCACACATTCAATGGTATTTTCATGGATAAACACCAAGGAGTCGCATACAGTGCAATAAATATTAAATGAGCGTCTCCCAGCTTTAAATTCCCCATCTATATATGATCTTTCAATCATCTAAATAAACACATTCTTCGAGAAGTATTTTGGGTTATATTCGAGAAGTTTCTTGAATGGATAACGAACATGAGAACACCACATTTCTGGCGTTTCACCACTATACCTATATTGTAGGTTGTTTAATGCTTACACAACTACAGGATTTAAACCAGAATAGTTGTTAGTTTTAACCATTTTACGACTTTATAGCAATTTATAGCAGTTTAGTGATTTATAACGATTTAGCAATTTCAGTGATTTATAACAGTTTGTAACAAGTATACTATAATAAATATCAGATTCATTTTTATTCGATTATCCCTATATAATGATTCGGTTAAATTAGACCCGATCTCCATAGACGGCTAAATTATACACAGCGCCTTAATGGCTGGCTAAAATTTGTATCACATATAGTCGCATGTAATTCTCCCTAGATCCTAGTCAGTTTCCGGCACTTCCTTGCAACCTTCCTGCAACTCAAATCACAAGGATCAACCAATCAGATTTTGCACGCGCAGTAGCTAAAGCCACCATTATTATTCGATTAATCATTATATTTTTTCAACCTTAATATATTACGACGCTAATTTATCCCCGCTCACTCATAAATCATGATATATAAAAGCAGAAGAGCCCTGATACCTCACTTCTTCTTTGTTATCTATAAAACTTTCCAATAAAAGTTTTCTTGAACGTAATGATGTCTGCACAATGGAGTGAGAAACAAACCCGCATATTAATTGATGAATGTAGAAATGGCAATGAAAAGTACTACCGAACTCCGAATCGTAATAAAAGAAACTTCTGAAAGAGGATTGCAGAGAATATTAATTGAGCAAATAATACTAATTACTTCACTGGAGAAGATTGTAATAAGAAATTCTTAGCTCTAACTCGGGTATACTATGAAGAGTTCTCTACGGAATTTTGGAAAGAACCTGGTATTTGCATCATGTGGCTTTTTTTTTGTGTTATTTGTATTTGCTTTGATAAATCCAGGATATTCTCCCTAAAATATTTATTGTTTCTAGTAACACAACGTAACTTAAAAAATCCATCATCATCATCATCTAATATATCGCGTCTAACAATACTCGCCGTATCAAGACCGCCTTCGAGACTTATAACACCATCCTTTTCTCAGAATGCCGAAAATGTTACACTATCTTCTTTTTTACAAAATGCGAATACGATCAATATAACTATCAATAATAACTATGCTAGGCCGGACGAGGAATAGATTTTTTATTAATATAGTATTTTCATAGATGTAGCATATGTAGATTTTGCATAGCAAATTGTAAATAAAAAAATTTATGTGGAAACATTTCCACCCGTAATTCTATTCCCTGATCTCTCGATCTGCGGGATGTAACTTTATTAAAATTTTCAAATATGGTAAAAAAGAAATAAAAAAGAAATGGTGTCCAAAGAGTCAAAAAGTTTGGCTCTGGGAGGGAGGAAATACTCGGACCCTAAGCCATAAATGAGTATCTCAGCACCATTTTTATTTCATACTACTACCCTCACTGAAAGTGTTACTATTATTACTACTACTGCTACTACTGATTCTCGAAAAACTAACCACCTTTTTTTCATTTTCTCTATCAACTCAGGCCTTTATTTTATCCATTGTCGTCACCCTTGGAATTGTTTGATGTCTATAGAAACTCACCAACGTGGCTGGACTAAAACCAACCTCATTTTTATTAGATAATATATTATATAATTGTGCAGGGAAACAACCTTCTCTCTTTCTTCTTTGATCGAAGAGAGCTGAAAACTCAATCCAATATGTTTTTATATCCTTACTATAAACGGAATATCGTCCAGTTGATATATTACTTGTAGTCGAAAACCGATTAGAGTCGGCTAGGGGTGGATAAGTCATATTAGATCTCATCCTGAAAAAAATGTTAAAAAATCGGTTATACGAAAGAATATTATACCTTGAGAGATTGCATCATTTCTCCATTCAGCCTCTTCACGCATTCTCCAAAGATCATTTTTTATCTCCAAGATTTCAGAGTTATTATTTCTCCTAGGCCTTTCTCAATGAAAATAGATGAATAAAGCTACAAGACTTATATAGATGATTATATTTCTGGAAAAAAAAGCCTGAAGCATATATAACGTTATGATGCTTTGAAGGAGCATCTCATAGATGATAAATACGATAGTGAAGAGTGCAATAGAAAAACTTTCAAATTTCAAAAGCATTTTGCGGAATAGTTTTAGAAAATGATAAATTATGTAGTTTGATAGTTCAAAGAGTCTGGGCGACTTCGGCAAAAAAATATATATATATATTTGATTTTATTCCTTCCGCAGTTGATCATCACAAAAACATGAAAGTCCTAGATCTTCACTGACCAATACTAAGTGGTAAATTAACCTAGCGGGTAATCAGTCAAAGGTGTTTCGTCAAAAAATTTAACGCTATTCATATGTAAGATCATCAAGGGGTTATACATATTTTTGAGAAT